CCCCCCCACAAAACACACTAACACAAATTAGAAGAAGAATAACAGTAAACCCAACGACCTTTAACTCGGAAACACACTACATGTAGGCCTACATGCACCGTATTCATTTTCAAAAGCCCAAAATTTGTTTTCAACAGGTAAGTGTCCACGTTAACATTTAGCAATCACTGCAAAACACAGGCACCAAATCTTCAGGACACAGAGTGGACCCAGATCGCCCACCGGGAAAGACAACTCGGGACAAGGAAATAGATCTGCAGACCCGACAACTTCAAAGTTTCAGGGCCTGTGGCCATCACAGATCTATCATTAATGCAGAACCACCGAGTTTAGGCAGCCAAAGCAAGACAACTCTTTGAAACTAACTGCAACAGAATTATTGATGACGACTGACAGAGTAAATTACACTCTTTTCTACCTGCCGGGGACTATTATGATTCAGGGAATAATGGTACAGCGGGAGACGAAAGAGAAAGTCACTGGATAAAGGCTCATAACGCCATAAAGTGAGTGGAAGGCCAGACAGTGATCGAAATACTACCAACGGCTTCTAAAATTGTGCCTTATGAATATGTGTGCACTTTGGGGTACAAATATGTCATCACTAAAATAAATACTCTTCAAATGCCGCCTCAAACCAGACAGAGAGCATAGCTGACATTACCAAAGTCAGATCAAAATAAAAAACAGAATCATACCACAAAGGCAATACATCTCAAACAGCCCGTTTTGGCAGAGGGGCAGCATGGCTTTCCTTACTCAATGTGCCCAAGCCAGGAAAAACTAAGCATGCTACTAAGCCATGAACACAAACAAAACATTAAAGAGTGGGCTGCAGCGTAAACAAGGGGAACGTGGTTTCCAGTTGTCATGCAATCACGGGCGTAGCTATTTTTGGCACATGGATCTCCCCACATTCAGGAGTCCATTGCAGAGTATGAAAGACCACTTACAACGAACCATTCACTAGCAATGCCTACTGTATTCCCAGTCTTTTTATCTCTTCCATTTACTTTTGGTCGTTTAGCATATGTATAGAAGCACTGCTCAAGTTTCGTCTCGGTCAGTTGAAACAAGTTTGTCCATGTTTTGGTTATCTATCAACTCAGGACAAAATATACCCTCTCCCTCCCTCCCTCTCTCTCTTACTCGTGTGTGTATGTGTATATGTATGCATGCATGCGTGTGTGTCATATTGATGTACATGCCTAACATGTTTACAGTTTTAATTGAGTGAGTGCTTTTCTCTCCATTGAAAAGGTGGAAATGTTCTAAATGCCACACAACACACAAACAACTTTTCAAACTCCCAACACAATCAGTGACTGCAGAATAAAATATAATATTCTTAGGAAAACCATAAGGAAAAATATGTGCTGGCTTTTGTCAACCCGTGTACTGCATTAAACAATTCTATTCCTCCCCCTCCCGACCACCTATTGCGTCAAGCCAAGCCTTCTGGGAGGACACTAAAATCTAAAAAAACACTTCCCACATGGTTGCTTTTAAGCACACGAGGGCTATCCCGAAAAATGTTGTTTCGAGAAAATTGAAAGAAAAGTTTTAGCCCCTTGCTCAGTTTCTTTAAAAGACAAGGACAGTTTTCTCTATAACCCAACAAATAAACACACCAATGAAACCAAACTTCTCCTATTGATAGAGCAATGCCCACTTTTGGTGCAGGTCAAGATTTCTGGAAACCCTAGAAATCTGGGTTAGCCCGCTTGTCCTAAAAATCGACAACATAAAAGTTATTTCAGACATCGTGTCCCCTTAACCTTTATGCGGGTTCATAAGTATCAAAACACATTTAAATCAGCATAACTGAGACCCACAATCAAAATAGAACAGCTCTACAAAGAAATAATAAAACATCAACTTACCATCTTCCATGTCTGTCATTATTTCGTCCGTGGTGGCTGGTGGGGTGGGAAACGGATCTGGAACAAAATAAAGAGAAAGAAAATTAAAATCAAACCATTAAAAAAAACAAAGAAAAGAATTCACACAAAACAAACACATACAATGAATTTTATATATATGATGTCAAACTGACACTGCTCGAGCACGTCCCCGCCTGTTCCAGGCACAACATTATTATTACTTTTTTTCTTTTGGGGG